TGTTAAGGCCAGATCTTTGTTTCTTGCATTGTAAGTTTCTTTTCAGATTTTAGAAGAAAGAAGAGAAGAAACTATCTTAAAGATAATTGATGATAAATTGTTTCATATCAATGTTAGATTAAAATTTAAAATTACACTGCAAATGAGTAGGGCCTAACACTCAATCTAAAGCCAGAGTGGCAATGATTATTGTGTTGACCCTGAAGGAACATGAGATTCAACTTTATATCCAGGATTCATCATCCTACATTCTGTTACATTGCTCTTCAATAATAGATTTTTAAAAGGTGAAACTATCTGTCAGCATTTCCTTTTTAAAAATATTATACAGTTTCCTTTTATATTAAAGAATCTCTAAGACTACAATATATAACAGTGCTGTTCAGAACAGTTGTTGTTCTGATGATGTTATTGGTTATTCCCTACAAGTTATTGCTGCTCAGAACAATATTTTCTTATTTAGTTTAAATCTTAGTTGTTCAGTACCATTTTCAATGTATATAACTTAAAATAAAAATAAAAATGATTAAATTAGCCTCCAGCAATTCCTTTTGTGTTTATATTTAAGTGTGCAATATGAACAGGCTGGGAACATTGCTCTTAGATAAACATTGTGTTTGAGTGTTATTTTAGAAGATAAATTAGAACTAGTTGTTATCTGTTTAAAGTAGGGAAAGTAAGTAGTTGATGAATAGTTATATCATGTAAGATGTCAAGTGTTCAGTGTGCGTGCATAACATGTGCATGTTAATTTAAATACTTCCTGTTCTTGTTACAGAACACATGGTGACCTTCCACGCTCTTGAAACAGCTGATGTAAAAATGGCTAACATATGATTCAACAACAGTTTTGAATTTGATGTTTTAATCGATGAAATCAAATTTGTATGCTCTTGATTAGTCATTAGACTACACACCTCTAGTTTTTATTGATCAGGGTGGAGACGAAGTCACAGATTTGTCGAGGGGAGCCACAGCTCAAGACATCTAAGAACTCAATGATAAGAAATTTAAAACTTGGAGGCCATGCCTTCTTCTCCCCCTTAAAAACCCACTGGTTCAGACATATGATTTTGATGGTGAAAATGTTGCACTGTCTTTCATGAAAATGATAAATTTTCCTCTGAACTATAGAGATAGGACCAGGTCTTCTTTAGTTAAAATGACCTCATGTATTTCATCTTAAAGAGATATATTCTTTAAATATGCATTTTGTACTTGCTCTAGGTAAAATGTTACTGATGCATTTTGGGGCTTGGTTCAATCTTATTGTGTGCTTGCAGCTTGAATTTCATTACACTATTCACTTGTTTTTAGACTATCTCTTATCTGAATCTTTGTTTCAATACATTTTTCAGTTTATCAAAAATGAGTCATTTTGAATTCATCATTTATGAATACTTCGTGTTTATTAATGCATGCAAATCAAAATTTTGATAACAAAACAGAAGTCTGTACCTTATATTTTCAAACTGTTTTGTGTTCCGAATATTTCCAATATAAGTTTGATGTAATAATGAATGAATAAGTAAATATAATTAGTTGGTATTGTTAAGTAGTTAATAATCAATATTCATTTCTGTTTGATAAATGTATATATCATATGAATTTTTATTTATCAAATGTAAACTTGTTGAAAGGTTGTATGGTTGTTGTTAAAACTAAAGAATGAAGTTATATTTTTGTATTATAAGAGAGTAATTCAACATTTTGCATGTTAAATGATTTTTGGCTAATAAAATATAAACTTGTTGATTGTATTGAGATGTATCATTGTGATAAATAAAATCTCAATTCCTACCTTCATATCAGCTTCTCGAAGACTTCTCTGTGGAGAACTTCTCACATTCTCAACTGGTTCATAACTGCTAAAATCCGTTTCCAAAACAATGGAACATTTTCCATTCTGTTTATCCAAGAGTTCTTCATCGGAATATGATTCTTCCAACACCAAGGATGGACAACGCACAGCTCCTTCCGTTAATAATTTCAAATTTTTAGATTTTCCCTGTTTTTTGAGTCTACGAGGAACCACAACACCAGAAGGGGAAAATAAGTCACAGAGTAGACTGGAACTGAGTTGTTTATCAGGAGATTTGGACATGAATATTGCACTTTCAGGATGAGCTTTCTGAGGAGACAGAAGATTGGAGTCATCAGTATTGTGATTGTTGGTTGTACCAGCTGACATGTACACTATAGGGCTGGGTAGAATTTCTTCCTCTGTGCCTTGCCACTCATTCTGTCTAGAGGCAACTTTCTCACGCTCTAATATCTCATTGAAATCTGTCTTCAAGGTCACAGGGTCAGAAGTTTCATTATTATCAGAACGTGGCGCCTCTGATGTCACTGATACTTGATGCACTGGAATTTGCATATCGGCAACCACACATTTTTCTGGTGAAATTTCTTTTGAGATTTTGCTACTATGAATTTCAACACCATTATCAATACCATCTTGAATTTCAAAACCTGTTTTTACACTACCAGAAATAATTTTTGAACCAGAGTTTTTGATTTTATCCTGCATTTCATGATCACATGATTCTAATTTTTCAGTTGAATTTTGGTCTGATGCAGTTCTTGTCATACTACTATAAAGGATTTCAGGTTCCTTGATTTTGTTGGAATTAAAACTTGATTCTAAATGTGCAATTTTCTGTTTAAACTCCATATTTTTGTTTCCCACTTTGCCGTGAATCTGGTTCTTATCATTCATTAATGATTGAGGTGAATCATGGGTGAATATTTCTCCAGGTTTCTTGTTTACAGTTTTATCAAATTCCACCATTTTTTGTTGATAAGATTGCACTGGTTCCCTTGATGGCAGATTAGCAGAAATTTTTGAGATGGTCTCATATTTCAAGGTTGGTTCTTGATCATTAATTACAGCTGATATATCCAAATTTGATTCTTCTGTGCTGAGGACAATTTCAGGGGCACCTGTTTGTTTGGTGCCATTATCACAAGATGTATCTTTTAGTAGATTTTCACAAATGACTGTTTGATGATCTAAAGTAGAAGTGGTAGGTAACCAAACGTTGATAGGACTAGGTGAAATAGACCGAGCCCTCATTGGGGACCCACAGATTGATGGTGAAGATGACCCTTCTCGAGGAACATCGAGGTACTCCTTCTTCCAGATTCCTCCTTCTCCTTTCACCCACTGGTACTTCCTGTTTGCCAGCGGAGATGTCAGGGGTGATTCAGAGACTGGTGTTGTAAGTTTGCTGCTCAAATTCTTACGAAGTGACTGAACTTTATCCTTTCCTGGACTGGTGTTGGATTTAGTGTCTACGGCTGCTTCAACTTTGGACTCACTGACTTCTGGAGGTTTGCCACTATTGATGACTTGAGTGACTGTCTTCTTCCATAATGCTTTTGTAGCCTTAAATCTATTGACTCTGGCCATTTTAATTTCTGGATCATCCTCAGATTGTGGTGTCTCATCTCTGGGTTGCACGTTTACTTTTTCAGATAGTTCTGGGGCATCCAGAGAGGCTTTTGCAATGCTCTCAGAAGCAGCTACCTTTTTGTCTTCTGCTGATTTTTTCTGTTGTAAAGCTACCTCTGAAATGCCTTGGTTCACACAGTTTACTTCTAATGTCTTCTCCCCATCTGTAACCTTTTCAGTGACAATCTTGTGGGCTGGCTCCATACCAAAACTTTTATCCTCTGAAGACAATTTCTCCTCACTGAAAATCAGGCTCTCATCTGGTTCATTTTCAAAACTCTGATTCCTGCTGTCCGACTCTGAACTTTGTAGATCTTCTTCAGTAATTTTCAATTCCACATTACACAGTTGGTCATTGCCAATACTCTCTTCTGATGGTGTTGAAATATCACTTGGAAAATCTGTAATAATCTCAACTTCCTCTTGACTGGGTTTTCGGCTTCCATTTGCAGAAATTGAGGTTGTTTCAACTTCATATTTGTCAGACGGTTGCACATTTATTTCAGGATGAGTCTGTAGATTTGTACTTTTAGAATCAGACGGAATCTGGCTTTTTGACACAACATGAACCTCGATAGGCACGTTCCCCACTGGTTTTGGAAGGTTATCGTAATCACTGAGCACCATGGTAGGATTGACTGATGTCTCTACAGCTTCAGATGGCAGTGTGGTTAAATTGTCACAAGATTTATCTCCCACAGGAAATGGCCCTGGACCCATTTTCTGTTTGACAATCACAGTTGGTTTAGATTTTATTTGGCCAGTTGATTTGTTTACTAATGTTCGAGGAAGGGTGGTTGATTTGAAAGTATTGTTCACTTCACAAGCTAATGGTGATATTGGTCGTACAACTGCAGATTTTTTATCCAAAAGGTTTTTGTCACTTTGTTTTTGAACCACTCTTTTATAGTCACTTCCAGTACTTTTACTTTTAACCAAAGATGGCGTCTTCGGGATTAAACGTTCAGGTGTTTTGGTTTTCACAGTTTTTGATTTGGAATCTAACATAACATTTGCTTCAGTTTTATGTAAATTCACATTTCCTGCACTTGACATCTGGGTCATGTCTTTCTTCAAATTTGATTTTACCATCACTTCCTTAGCAACGCGTCTAAATCTGTTTTCGAGAGGAGGAGAGGAACAGCGTGCCTGAGCAAACTTTTCAGCAGATTGTCGAAGTTGTACTATTCTCTCGTTCACCTCCGGGCTGTTGAGGTTAGCTGTTGAACCATTTCGATTATTGGACATTTTTGAAGATTCAAATTTTGGCAGTTGAGCTTTTACACGATTCCAATTTGAAGCTGCACGAGGCGAGGATTTACCTGATGTTATTTTGATTGCCAAATAATTTGAATTTGTGTCTGATAAACTTTGACCTTCCTCCACAGTTTTCTCTGACGTCACAGAATCATTTAAATTAGTTTCTTCTGATATCCCTTCATCGTTACATGGCAGAAATTGTTTTTTATTCTCTCCACTGGTAGATAAGTCTGTAGGAGACTGCAGGCTGGAGATAAGAGAGGAATTCTGAAGCTTGTCAGTGTTATTGGTGTTGGTTAATTTTGAGATATCAGACATATTCAAATCACATTCTGCCTTATCATGCAATGAGGGGTTTTTATCATTAAACTCAACTTCTTTATTTAACTTGCCAAAAACTTCATCAGCACTAATTGGAAGAACTTTTCCGTCAGGGGAGACAATCTTTCCATCTTTGATATAAAATCTTGAGGATGTCTTGGTTTCTTTGTGACTTCGAGATGAACTGGATGATTGGCTCAAAATCTCACTCTTGGTCTCCTCAGCATTTTTAAGTTCCTCAGCCGGTGCCTGTGTAACTCTGATGGTATCTTTGATATGACTAGAAATGTGTGTATCACAATAACTCACTGTTAGTATGGATTTTGAGTCCCGAACAACCAATTTTGAGATTTTTTCTGACGTCTTTGAGGAATTCAGAGAAGTTTTTGAGCTATTCACGCAAAATACATTGTTTATTTGAGGCTGTATGGAAGTGCTTTCATCCATTTTTGAAATTTTTTCTTGAACTTTTGATTTGGAGATGGAAACAGTTTTGCCATTATTCACATTGTTGCCTTGTTCTGTTTGAAAAAATTTCTCTTTAGCACTCAAGATGGATGATTTAGTTTGGTTGTTGGAATTGTTTATGTTACTAACACTCTCTGAATTCTGACATCTTAATTGACTTCTGGAATTCGCACCATTATCAGAAAAAACACTTTCACCACTTTGCACGCCATTTAACATGTCAAGAGTACTCTGGTCCACCATTTTAGCGCTACTGCACCTAGCTCCTGAATGAAGAAATGAACCAATCAGGCTTTGAGCGGCTTCCCGCGCCTGAGAGTTCAAATCCTCTCTACTTGTGGTCATGGTGGGGCTGAATGAGGTACACACATTTGAAAAATGATCTACTTCCGATGATGTAGAAATTTCTTCCGAATCTTCAAAACTTCTATCCAAAGAATTATTACTGGCTCCATATTTGGAAATTAAAGTCACATGACCATTGTTGTCACTATTATAATTTTCACTGTGAATTGTTGGTTTAGTTTCTTTAACACTCAATACTTTTGATTCGCAAACTTTATTTTGGTCGTCTGCCAGTAACAGTTGAGATTCGCTTCCACAGTTTAACAAAGGACTATCAGAAATTACATCTTGTATTTCGACTGAATGATTGTGTAAATGTCTGTTGGTATCATTGGTCGGTATAAAAGTTGGAAGAAAAGTTTTATGAGTTTCAGCCTCCCCAAGTTTAACACTTGTCAGTTCTGAGTAATTATTTTCACAGCTAACTTTATGTTGGTTCTCGGTTTGTGTTACAAAGTTTACATGATCCGGGCTGACGGTGCCAGCTGTTCTAATACCATCGTGTACATTCTCCCTCGATACAAGATCACATAACTCTGATTTTTTTACATCAAAATGCCTCGATACTGTCTCTCCTGAATTTTCAACATGTTTATGTAATTTGGTATCCCTCTGATATAAAGTATAATGTAATTTATTTTGGCAATCCTCATGTAATTTGATGTTTTTGTCTTCAGGCACAGTTTGTTCTTTCACCTCATTATGAGACCTAGAATCATAAATATCCTCATTACAATTTTCACTAAATTCCACCTCAGAATGAGAATTAATCCCAATTTCAGAAAATGAATCATAAAAATTCTCTGCACTCTGATCCCTACTTGCAGTTAAACTTTGCACACAATCCTTAAAACTTTCTACTGACTCAAAACTGCTATTTCCTATTTGATTTGCACTTTCTTTTATGTCCTCACATGACTTAAAACTGCTATCTCCTGAGTCTTTTTCACCTTTCACATCTGAATTGACTAAACCTATTGAATGTGAAACACTTCCCTCACATGACTCACCCTTTGTCAAGGAATCATTTAAAGTCAAATTTAAGTTATTTTTGATATCCTTGAATACATTGGCAGGTTTAGAATAGTTTATCTGTGGTGAGCACAAGTTGTCTGTAGTTCTGCCTTCATCAAAAGGTTCCTGTGTATTCGGGAGTGTTTGAATCACTGTATTTATGAAGAAATTATCTTTTTTATCAACATTTCTTTCAGTGAGGGAAGTAGTCTTATCTTCAACACTCCAGTCTGATTTCAAACTTGTCTCAGGTTTCACAACATTTTCTAAATGAGCTGCACCTGGCTGGGCATTCAAGTCTACTGATAATCTTTCAGTATGTTTATCATAACAACTGTCAGAAAAGTCTATAGAATTATCAATGTGAGATTCAGACTGGTTGTTAGAGTCTGTTAATCTACCTTGCTGGAAGTTATCAGTTTTGGTACTAATGTTATAATTCACTTCATTAAACCTGGACGTACAAGGCTCATTAAACCTGGATGTACAAGACTCCAGTGGAACTTGGCCCAACTCTTTCAAACCCTGCTCAGCGCTTGTGGCTTCTCTTTGAACCAGTTTTTTATCATCACTATTAAATATTTCGTCTAGTTTATCATATTTTATTTCAATTCTGTGTCTATTTTGGTCACTGGTATAAAGATTTCTTTCATCTTGTGATTTGGGTTGGTCGGTAATAAACAGCTTATCTGCTAGAATATCATCACTAGAAACTATATCACTGATTCCAAGTTCTAAATGTTTATTTTCTGTATTAAATTCCAAAGTTTCATCACTTTTTGTAGAATTTTCACATGACAGTATAGTTACGTCCAAAATAGATTTTACAGTTTGAAAATCATACTTCTCCAGATTTGAGACAGAGTTCTTCTCAACACTTTCACAATTCCCTCTTTCTAATTCTCTGTTTTCATTTTGTAAATATGGGGTCAGGTTTCTTTCACATTCCACCTTTGACCTGAACTTTGACCTGGCGTCTGCTACAGCTTTTAGTCCAGAATTTTGAGAATCTGTTAAATGGTCACTATGGAAATACAGGTTATCACTTTGATTACTATGGTGATTTGTTCCAGATGTCTGCTTGCCTTCCACAGTGGCTGGTTTGACCAGGCAGGAAGTGTCCAGATTTTCCTGGTTAGACTTTAAGTGCTTTAAAGTGGATCCTTGAAATTGTGGAGAACTCTTGACATTTGAGACTGTTTCATTTTCATCACCATTTTCATTCATATTTGTACTCACCACAGAATTTGGTGAAGTTTTTATAAATTGTTTTGAACTTGAAACTTGAGATGACGATGATAAATCAGCCTGATGTTCACACAAACTTTCATCAGACGTTCCAGACTTAAAATCTATGTTTTCTCTCCATAAATCTGTCTGGTTGGTGTCTGATTTAAATTCACTGATTTTCACTTGTCTCACATTTTCTGACTCACTGCTAAATCCAGGGTTTAATACCTGATACTCTTTTTCAGAATTTAAATCTGTTTTGATAAAGTCACTGCACTCAGCTGGTAATCCACTTCGACTCTTTCCATCCACTGCTATATTTTTCAGGCTCTGGTGTTTGTCTAATCCCCTCTCAGTTGTCTGATTATCCTCACCCTCGTGAACATGATCTAATTTGGTTTCAAAACCCAGATTATCAATGTCTGAAGATGTTCTTTCATGCTGAATGGAACCACTCGTACCACTTGAATCTGATTTCGTGTTTTGGGTTAATTTCAATTGATGTTTCCATTCATCTTTTTTCTGAACTTTAGATTTCTTGGTATGAACACCTGGCGATATTGAAAGAGATTTTGAACCACTAGTTGCAACTTTTGATTTCTTCAATGTATCACTTTTAAATTTCTCCATAGTTTTATTTTGAACACTGGAATCATTCTCTGAATTCTCCAAAAGGCATTCATCACTTGCATTCAAATTGTTATCAGAAAGTTCACTGTTACACAAGGTTTGTCCCATTTTTATCTGTGTTTTATTTTTCGACAAATTGTCCCGACTAGTTTTAAAATTTCTGTCTGAATTAGGATTTAGTCCAGATTGATAGTTCTCATTATGTTGTTCAATCATATTCTCATTAAGCACCGTGTCCGTTATCTCACAACTCTGATAATTCTGATTAACTCTCGTTGATTTATTGTCTAGTTTCCGTGAATAATTACGTTTAGTTTCACTGGCCAATGTTATATCATTATTGGATGGTGAGTTTGATGTCACACTGGAATTAGACGAACTTGATGATCTCTTTGATAATATTGTTTTACTACTGTCACTTTTAATCACTTTGTCTTTTATTGGCGTCACACTGTTATTGAGTGCATCACTTTTTGATTTTTTATTATTGTTGAGAACATCATGTTTTGATGTCACATTACCAATGTCACTATTAGATGGTATGCCATTAACACTGCCATTATCCAAAGACACTGATATATCACTAGTTCGTACAGGTTTTCCATCGCTATTGTCAGTCGAGTTATCTGGTTTAACTATTGATAAATGTTCTAAATTAGAATTGAAGATTACTACTGTATCACTATCAGACCCTGATTTCGTTAAACTGTCTGACTGATTGCCCATTTTGTCAGATTTTGTCTTCAGCTGTGGTTTCAGATTCACTGTGGTCTTCTTCTTTTCCTTGCTGGCTTTCAGATTACTTTCAAATTTCTTGACTGCAATCACTTTCGTGGCAGCGACAGCAATCTTAGAGCGCACTTGAGATGTGGTTTTGGTTGGTTCTAAAGACCCAGTTTTTGATTTGGTTGTCAGGGTTTTTGAAGCTACATTTTTTGAAGTGATTTCTCGTCCAGCAGAAGGTTTTAGAGTCGACTTTCCAGTAGATGTTGTACCCTGATTGCTAACAGATTTAGCTGTTGTTTTAATGGTTTTAGTACTAGGTCTAGTTGGTAGTCGACTGGATGATGCTGAAGAAATGTGGGAAATATCAGACGCCTGGCTCTCAACTGAACTTTCTCTGAAAACATACAGGAACAACATAAAGATAAAATAAAACAAAAATGCCTAAAACTATTTGGTAAGAGCAATTATGCAAGATGGTAAATAATGACATACGAGGCAAATTAAGGCTAAAGAAGGGACACCCTTAACACAACAGGCAAGTTGTCAGAATGAACATTAATCTAAAAATATATTCATAAAGCAGCCTAAACATACACTCTCCCCAACCACCTTATAGTCTTCCATTCTACCACTTCCAATTTCTACCAATCAACCCCTTATCCAAGATAGATATTTTTTGGAGATCATCAATTTGCAGCCACAGGGTTAAATTTTAATAATTTCAACTCACCTTGTAAAAGTTTCCTCTGATTGGACAGTGGTCCTTGTTTTAGTAGCAGTAATTTTCAGGTTTCCCTGTCTAGCTGGTAGGCGACTGGTAGACACAGATGATATATGGGAGATATCAGAGGCTTGGCTTTCGACTGAACTTTCTCTGGGAAAAAAATGAAAATTTATAGATCCTGTTTCATCACTGATATTTTTTTGGATATAGGAAATTATTTTGCTCACAAAGAATAAATTATAAATCTGCATCTGACAAAACCTGAGATAGAAATATGAAACAAAGAAGGAAAATATTGTTTTAACTGTTTCAGACCATTCACAATCTATCTGATAAAAATAAGAAAGATCAAATTTGTGCGAAGTTTTTTTCACCATAAAAAAGGGTATGTTCCTCCAGCCCCGTCGCAAGGAATGAATTGGTGCTGGGGATTAGATTTTGAATTACAGGCCAAGAGATCTCATTTCTGACAATTTTGAGGTGCCAAAACGTACCAAAATCTATATCTTTTTGATTTTGTACAGAGACACTGTAAATGAATCAATCTCTGCTGAACTCAAGGAGGTTTTGCTGGGGCTTAATTCTCACTTGCTGGGGCCCAGCCCACAAAGACCCCACCCTAATGACGAGGCTGTGTTCCTTAGACATGTTGAAAGCTTTTGTAAGCTCTGTATGCTTCAATCAAGGATCATATTGTCATTGGTTGGTGGGCTGCTTGATAAACTAAATTCATTTTATTCCCTTTTTATGCCCACATGACATAACTATCACTCATTTATAATTTGTAAATTATGTTCTGCTGTGTTTATTTAAGGTCGTATTAAACACATACCGTAAATTTCTCTCCTCTAATTTTCCAGTTTTAGTCTTAGAAGTGACTTTTGTGGTCTTAACTGTCTTTGATGTGGTTTTATGAGAAACAGCAACTCCTGCAATACGTGGTCTAGTTGGTAGTTGACTAGTAGATACAGATGAAACATGAGAAATATCAGATGCCTGGCTCTCTACTGAACTTTCCCTGAAACAAATTCTCAAACCATTTCAGATACTTATAAAAAAACAAAAATGTAAAATTGGACTTGAAAATGTTCATATCAAATATATCTATCCTTAACACATCATGACAATATAAATAGAGAATCATTTCCCGAATATAAAATATTGCCTTCTAAAACTACTTACCTTGGGTTATTTACTTCAGTTCCTTTCACTTCAGCTTTGCTCTTAGCAATCTTTTTAGTATTTGAAGTTGTTTTACTGGACCCTTTAGTTCCCTTCATTCCATGTTTGGTTTGCAGTCTGCTGGTAGAAGCTGATGAGATTTGAGAAATATCTGATACTTGGCTCTCCACAGAACTCTCTCTGAAATAGAATAATACAAACATGGTGAAATATTTCCTTAGACCACAAATATCCCTTTCACTAAGGGACAATACATATCCTGATTTTTCAATAACACACTTAAACTTTCACTAAAAATTCATTATACTAACTAAAGCCTACGCAATTGGATACACAATCTTAACAGGACATGAAAGAGGCAGTTAATTCTCTGACAATTTCACTGAAAAAATCTCTAGAAAATACACATCCTATGCTTGAAATTTACCGCACATTATATCAAGGACACATAGATGACATTAGGTTTGAACTATCTTAAAGTTGATCTACTAGTTTGACTTCACCAAAAATTGAAAAATTATGTTTACTCTAGTCTTCTTTTAGTCACACATTACTAATATAGTCAGAAGTCATATCTATTTGCTAATTTATCACATTAGTTAATGCAACATTCAAAAATTGTATCCCATAGGCCTATAAATTCTTTCTTTAAGTTTCTAAAAAAATTTTATAGGTGCTTTTAAAAATGTAACCTTTAACTTTGTATGGTGTGTGTAAATAACTTTCTGCCCTTGCAGTAAGATGTTAACATTCTCCGTGACTACTATCAGTGCAAAAATCAGGAGTCCAATGGGAATTATTAAAGATACATGTATTACATGTGTCCTTGATACACAAACAATGCTTGGAAAAATTTTAATACATCTTTTGATTTTATTGAAAATCTGATAAATTAATTTACCAGCTAGGAGACTAGGGGGCAAATTCAATCAGCCTGATTGATATACATCTTGGTATTTAATTACAGTAAAATATACACTACATGTCAGCTGGTAGAGTATTACAGAGTTAAATATCATACTGTCATTTATACTGTATCATCTCTAGGTGATTTATAGCATTCCCCAATATTTTTAGGACTTAATATTTTTTTAGAAAATGTTTGTCACATTAAAATAATGTGTTAAGAGAATAAGGAAATATTTAATACAAGTATAGGAAATATAAACGGCGTTTTCGTATCCGGTCGGCTCAGCAGGTAACAAGTGCTCCGATCGAGTTTTTCAAGGACAAATTTTGAAGTGATGTTTTACTGTATACTCTAAACTAAAAACCATTCCCAATAATCAACTGCTTAAAAATAAAATAAATATTGGTTTCCAGCAGTACAAGACATACTTTATAGGCTAGCTCATCCCATCAAATCACCTAATATCACTATACCACTGAGTAAGTCACCATAACAACTATTTAGGAGATTCCACATGGCTATAATGTAATTCATTGTGTCATCGTGGCATAATTTTAGGATGTCCACATAGAAAATTTAATTGGATAACAATTGATGCAAACGTTGATAATAATGCATTGGATTGAACTATCATGCATAAGCAGAGAGCTTAAAATATTAATCCTACTCATGGATAGACTTGATCAAGGCTAAATCTTTCTGTGTCGTGTTTGCATGACATATCAACATGTACGTTACATTATAAAGTTAAAGTATCACCTATGTGTCTAGCTCTACTACTGGTAATCATTAGTTACCTGATATCAAACGAATGTTTAATTACATAACATACAGGTGTGACCTGTTCTAAACTAGAACTAGACAAGATGGCTTAGTTTTAGAATATTTAAAGATGGGTTCCCTTATTTTCATTTATCAAAATGAAAATGCTGATACTGATATCAATAGAAAGGTGTTGTAATGACATGGAAAAATACCAGTTTGTCTCACATGTCCATAATTAATTCATAATTAGCCAAATTAGAAGAGAATTACCAGCAGAATTCCAATGAGTGACCGATCAAGGAAGGTCAAAATCTTTTTTTATTTATCCAGACTGTACATTCTTGGATATTTATGATTGGTTAAAACTCTTAATTATTTGAAATAAGAACATAATGATATGATTAAGAATACATGATAATTCATTAGAAAGACCAATTAATCAAATTGTTTGCTTAATTTGACACTAAAAAAATAAGGAAACCCATCTTTAAGATGTTTAATCTCTCTACAGGTTGATGAGTTGACTCAATTGCAGAGTTACATCAAGTTTATGCATTGGGTATTAGCAAGTATCAGTAATTCAAATTAAAAAAATTTTTCCCAAGATTGATTTAATTTCTGAGCATTCTGAGCTAATTTTCACAATTTCAGATGTATTAAGGCTAATAAAAAAAGGGAAATGGTGCTACTAGTACTAACTATTTGAACCCCCCGAAATAACAGCTAGGCAATACATTGGTAGAAATGAACTTTTCATATGATGTTTCAATATTATTCGTTCCCTAAAGAAAAACAAAATTTAAGACTCAAAGTATATTTAAATCTAAGTGTCTTACCTTTCAGAGTAAGTAGGCATCCTAGCAGATTTAGGTTTCTTGGCTCCATTTTGTTTCACACTAGTTTTAGAAGCAACTTTATTTTCCGTTGTCTTTTTGTTTGGTGTGGATGTTGTAGGAACAGACTTTCCCAAACGTGGAATAGATTTGGATGACTTGCCACTCGTAGAAACTGATGAAATTGAAGAAATATCGGAAGCGAACGAGAGCTGACTTTCCACAGAACTTTCACGAGTTGATGACGGAGTGTAGGAATCCTCTGATGTTTTCACAATTTTTGCTCCCTTGCTTTTAGAAATTGGAATCTGCCTAGATGACTTGGACTCAGTTCTGGAACTTTTGGATGTTGAACTGAAGGATGGGAAGGATGTATCTGAATTTGTGGACATTCTGTCATCCTCAATTGAATTTTCCCTCGATGTTCTACTCAGGGAAGATTTGGGTCTAGTTCCATCCATTTTTGCACTTGTGGTCCATGATGACAGCTTACTGCTAATTTCCGATCTCAATGAAGCTTCCGAATTTCTGGAAATCCGATCATCCTCCACAGAATTTTCTCTGGTTGAACATTGAGAAGAAGATCTTGAGTCACAAATTGTTACTGATTTGATCTTTTCTGGATTTTTGGCTGTTTTGGTCATTGGAATTCGAGATCCACTGGAATTTCCATCGGCATTTGCTGACAGTTTTAAATTTTTCTTGGTCTTTGATTGTTCCATAGGTGCTTTCTTGTTCCCTTTAGGTGAACTGGGATTTGAATTTGTTCGAGGTGTTGGTGACTCTGGATGAGATGTCTTGGTTGGTGACGTTTTTGAGTCTTTTGGACACTCTGGTAAAATCTGCACATCAGATGGTCTTTTTGGTTGTCTATGTTGCTTTGGTGATGAGGGCTGTCTTGAAGGTGAAGTAAGTTTTCTCCTTTTATCTGCCATATCTGGTGACGCACTTTTAGCTCTGCGTTGAATTTCCGGACTTTTCTTGTCATAAATTGGTAATCCACGAGACAATCTTTCCAATTTTGTCATCAGAGTTAATTCCTCATGCCCCCTTTCATCCACTGAAACAGACTTCTTCAAAATTTGTTGTTCTTTCCTAGCATGTTTCGGACTGGTCTCTGACCTCCTGGCATGTCTTGGACTGGTGATGTTCCTTCTGATATGAGTTGGGCTGGAATCCCATCTTTTAGTTGATTTGGGACTACTGTCTATAGATTTCTGTGTCGATTTTTTCTTCTTTTTCTCTGCTATTGTTATCCCTTCGTCATTGTCTGCTAGTTTATTGTTGAATGACTCAGCTCTGATATCAGACGATTGGATTTCTCCTTGGTGACCCCTTGGTGATAACCCTTCTATTAGGTCATCGTTACCTTGAAAACCATTGAAACCGTCGTCTGCTTTCTTTAATTCCACACCAGCTGCTTGTTCTTGAAGAGTTGCCTCCCTTGTTCTATCTATCATTTGTCTGTTGGTTTCACTGTTTGAATTTTGACCTTTGAGAGAGGTGATTTTATTGGTTGAATGGTCACCTGAGATGCCCTGTGTGGATTGCAGACCCCCTGAATTGAGAGCCTGGTTCCTATTATCATTAGCCATTTTTCTCTGGTCAGAATTTCCTGTTAATTGATCCACCAGACCATGTTTGTTTCCTTTACTATTTGATACATTATTTACTCCCATATGGTGTTCTGCAACTCTATTGTCTGAATGTAAACCATCTTGACCACTCTTAAGAATTCCTTGACTTTTATCCACTAATTTCATGACTCCATTTTCACAAACTAGTAAACTATCATCATCCAAATTACTGTCAATATCACTTAAAATTTTCTCGAATTTTGTTTTCAAATTGTCTGAATATTTTATATCACCAATTTCGTGTTTTGTTTTGGATTTTCTCTTCACTGTGTTTACATTTTTTGAGTTGTCCTGGTTACGTGTTTTGTCAATTCGTTCATAATCCTCTACACATGCCTCACTGTTTTTAATTCTTTTATTTTCTGAATTTAAATTTACACGTTCACTAGTATTTGCATTCTTTTTATCATAGTACTGAGATTTATCACTTCGGTTATTTTCATCCGAACACAAAACACGTGAAGATCTATTCAAAACACTCATATTATCTTCGAGAGAATTATGTTTTGTTGATAAAAACTGTTCGATTTTAGACTCACTATCAGTTTGAGAAAGTTCAGTAGGAAATGTTAATAAACCAAGTTGGCTTTTAGTCAACTCTTCCTTTTCTGTTTCAACAGGTGAAGTTTCCGTTTTATATTCCTCAGTTTCACTCCAGTCTTTATTATTATATAGGCCTACAGTCTTACCTTCAGTTTCATTAATAAATCCTTCCTTATTTCTCAGCCTTTTTTTCTCAATATTCTTTTTAGGTATACTCCCTGTTACACTCTTATTAACATGTAAATCATTTGAAACTATTTCAGTATTTTCCTCATTATTCATAAACTTGTTATTAAATACCTCATGTTTATTGTTACTCGACATTGAAAGAGATTCGGTAAAACCCTTTTGTATATTAGATTGCACTGAAAATATCTTGTCTTTATTCAAATCCTTGTTATCACACAAATCACTTTTAGAAGGCTTACTCTTTATTTTCTGCCCAAATGAACATTGTTTTTCTTTATCTTCAAAATAATCTGAATTTCTTTTTGATTGAATTTTACGCGGAGATGTTAATTTGGAATGAATATTTTCACTTACATGAGATTTTGATAAATGTCCGTGAATTGTTCGGTTCGGAGACTCGCTGTTGTCTCGACTTCTGCTTCCCTTTTTAATTGGAATTCGAGACGGAGACACAATGACATGATCCACTTTCAATACATCGATTTCAGAACTGGTTTTTGATGCACTTGAATAGTTCGTCTGGTTTACTTTGAAAGTTACAACATCTCCAATCGATTCACAGGCCTGTGAGAAAACAACTTCTTTTTCTACTAAATGTTTGTTCTTATCACTTTTAACACTGATTACATTTTTTTCACCTTCAACATGCAGTTTTAATGAACTTGACGACTCTATAGAGATGTTATTTTCATTTAAAGAAATATTTAAGTGTTTGATCACATCACAATTTTCCAATAAACCATTTTTTTCACCTGGTTTGGAATCACTTTTAGCAATTTGTCTTTTAGGAAGCTTTGTTCCTTTAGCTTTATTGTTCACTCTCAGAGTTTTGTTTGATTCTGAACACTTTTTAGAAGAAGCTTTCACTTTCTTCTGTAATCTATCTTTCACGTTTTCTGTTTCGACACTCTCAGCCTTCCTCAAGGTAGATTTATTATAACATTCTGTTGAAACTTCATCTTTTATTTCTCCCTTCTTTTCCTTCTTAGTTTGGTCTACCTTTTCATTCCTTCTTTCTGCTTTCTCTCTATCCTGCAAAAAGAAACTATTATAAGAAGAAAAATGTTAATAAGAGGTTATGAAAGAATTTTATCCTATCTCTAAAAGGCATGATATAATTTGATTCCATGGCAATTGCTTTTGTTAGTCAGCTCTTTGATATCTACCATCCCAAAAGACAGGACATAAGTACCAGAAAATTGTCCAGAAAAGACAGAGTAAGATGTCAGAAAGAGTATAGGTAGAATTTAGAAATCATTAGCACCACGGCCAGTGCATTTGCAAACATGTCTCAAATTGCCAAGATACATAAACACATTGTAAGACTACAGCTACACATCCTTGTACATTTTACACAAATTAGAAATCATGTCTCATCCTACATATCACCCAATGAGATATCACACATCCTAATCCCCATTAGCTATTTTATTCCTGAAAGTTTTCAAGATTATTAAACTATTTTAACAGAGAACTAAAATTAATAAATCAATAACAGAACGTTGGACTGATAAGTTTAAGCTCCAGATGTTTGTAATTTCCGTCTCTTTAGAACTAAATATATCATAATCCTAGCTTCTCTTTACCCACTGCACAAATCAGCTAGCTGCCTGCGAAATTCACTATTACTAGTTCCTCCTGAATGCATCAATTACCCCTCCTTACAATACTAACAGCTACTATTTTCAACAAGGCTGGTATAATATGCCCATATATCCCTTCATATTCCTGACTTTCAGAACTATAAGATATGTGTCCATATGTCCATATTGCTCCTTGAATCTCCAAATGCAAAAGATATTACAGATACCATGAATTAAAATAAATTGCCTATAATATATCCTTTTTTGCAAAAGTGATTTCAATATACATTATTTACCCTTGTTTCATATCAGTTAAATGGCAGGGGTAAGCCTACAATTAAATCATATATCATGTTATGCCCTGTGTTAAACCATGAGGCAAGTCCAAACAACAATTTATTGAATATATACCAATATTCATTGATTAGGAAGTCTAGTACCTAGGGCATTTTACACCAAATCTACCTGGCTCCAAAACGGGTGCCAAAAATTTGACATATTCGCTGATTCTGATTTCTTGTCAAAATGGTTATGTAAGATTCATCATGAATTATCAGCCTGGCAGCAAACAGTTTTTACAATATTTTGGCATAAATTTGGATTGTTTTGACTTGGAATGCCTTACAACTTGTCATAATTTTTTCAACATAGAAAATTAAGAAACTATAATTTCTACTCACTTTTGTTTGTCGAGAGAAAATTTTTGGTTGTTTGGCTTCCACTTTCAGATGGTAATCTTCTTGTTCATTGCTGAAAGCACCTGGTAAAGTTGTTACGTCATCATTCTGTGAGGCACGCGCAATCAGTGTCATATTACCAATATCAGTACTTTCACTTTTGGTACCACTAGATGTAATTGCCGTCTGCTTGTATACAGTTATTTTAGAAGTTGCGGGCTTGGTTTTCGTTTCTAATGACTCCCCTGATAATTGATTGCCATTCAGTTTATCATCTCCGATTCCTTCTCCAGTTTTTATTCCTCCATTTCGCGGTATTTTAGAAGTCATTAACAGGTTTTTGGAACTGGCACCGTGCTGGTTTGTTGTCTTTGAAAAGTTTATAGTCTGCAATTGATTGGCAGGGGTGTTAGTAGCTTCACATTTGTCATTCTTACTCTCACGGGATGGCATTCTTTCCTTTGTCGCTTGTTTTTCCTTACATTTTCGTTCCATGCCTGGTATCTGGGTAACGCACGTGCCGTCAATCTTGTTCCCGCCATTTATTTGGGCGCGAATGTCATGACCTTGAACAGATGAGTTTGATTTAGTCGGAACTTTAGAGACTGTGTTGGTATTTTTCAAGAGCGACTTTAGCGATGCTTTATTAATTGGTTTAGCAATTTTTGATTTTGATTTCGACCTGGGGTCAGACGAAGCTGACGTTTTGGAATGAGAAAACTCTTGATTTGGAACGTGAATGTCACTAGCACGTGAAGATGCAGCCTGGTTCGAAATTATCAATCCACTTGAAGAAATATTAGACTCGTTTTCTTTCACAATTTTAACACGATGACCGGTTTTTATTTCACTTTCACGCGAATTTGAATATTTATCGATAACTGAATGTTCGTCTGCTACAAATCCTTCACGATTCTCTCGAGTGATGTCGAATTCAATTGAATCGTCAGAAAAATCCAAGTTTGTTTGTTCAGGGACGTTCTTAACCACTACATTCCTCTCTCGTTCGAGGTCATTATTATCGCGCACTACGTTACACAACGGCGATAATTGCTCTCCAAAATTAACATTTTTATCACGATGCACGCCCTTTACAAAATTCCCGCCATTGTTAAACACAATCACAGAACTTTGCTCACTGACACATTTTTCATCACCGCCAAAATGTTCTCTTAATTGGTTGTCCCTAATATTTTTGTTGTCGCTAATTCCTCGCGTGCCACCAACACACGTGTTGTAATTCGTTTGTATTATTTTGTCGTCTGCTACAAGTGGTTTCTGTGGAGTCACGCGGGAGGGAATGCCGGTTGGAATACGTCGTCTGCTAGGGTTAATTTTCGATTTCTGGGTGTCGTTTCTGTCTTGTATATTAACCACGTGTGCGACTTCCTTTAGGTCAGGTATCGAGGAAGTTGTGAAACGTTGACAATCTGGTGATGAAGTGGTTAAATCATCAATGTCCCCACCATTTTGGGTTCGTTTCCGGTCGTCAGTCTTTATCGGTTTATTATTGACTAAGAGTGTAGGGGCTTGAAAGGATGTGACCTGACCCGTATCGTTATTACCGTGAGATTTAGATAAAGAGGTTGTAATAAGTCCTAATCCTTGTTTGCCAATTTTACACGGTGAAGTATCTGTATTCAGGCTTGAGTGAGATTTATGGTGTTTGCTTTCACTATCAGATAAGGTTTTATCGTTTTGTCCCTCTGGCGTCTTACTACCATAATCCATTAAGGGATCTTGTTGGTTTATTTTCGGGATTAAACACCTGTTAGAGGACTTTGCCTTTGAAGACGACATCTTGGGCGTGGGAGACGAGCTCTTGGTAGACTTGGGAATGCCACACTTTGCAGTGGTTTGTTTCATTTCAGAAGATGGATCTGCTTTGGATTGCACATCCCTCGACGACGTCTGGACTCCTTTTGTGGTGCCATTAAATGACTTCGCCTTTTCTTTACATGCAAGTCTAGACTGTGCAGGTGTCTTTCCATTTGCTGGGATTTTGGTTGTATTACCAGACGCGTCTTTGCACGGACTGCCGTTCCGTTTGGTTGGTGAAACCCTTCTAGGTGGTTTAGAATCCTTACCTTGAGTATTTTCTGTGGATTCCATTTTGGGATAATAGATTATTTTAGGTCCAGGTATATCCTTTGGAAGACATATTTGTTCACTGACACAGTTACCCTTATGGGTAGCTCCTCCCCTCACAGCACAAGAGGACGAAGATGCAGTCGCACATTTCTTGGAACGTTTTTTAAGGAATCCTTGTAACCCTTCTCCAGCCTCGACATAGCTCTTTTTCGAAAATATCGGTCTTTCATTATTCACAGTATTGATAGAATTTCCCGAATTTTCTCCGGTGCCAGTTTTCTCAGACTGGCTTGACACGTTTACGGAATGACTTGACGCACCGGCATACCGAACTCCGTCTTGTTTTAACGGTAAGTAATCCACTTCCTCCAAACTATCCTGATCCGACGAACTTGAATACTCGTACATATGATTATCCACAAATCCAACGTAATTGATTTTTAATGCCGAGGCTGGTGTGATGTTGGTTTTTCCATATTGTGAATGTCCAGCCATAGAGATATCATGTCTGGGCTGTGGAACATTCGTTTCTGACAGAAGTTCGTCAATCTCCGGAGATTCCCGAATATCCTGCGATTCTGATCGATCTGGCTTCAGTTGACTCGTGATCGCCGTTTTGTCTTCGCTCCGTTCAATATCACCGTCCTTGGTAAATATATGGTGGATGTTCTTGCCAAGATTAAACGATACCGTTTTTGGCAGTCCGGAATCCTTAGTAACGTAAGGTTTTTGTCCGTGGGTAAAAGACGAACTTTTCTTTAAAATAGTCCGAACAGGTGGTTCACTAATGCTACACACAGAGTCTAAACTTTTCTTTAAAATCCCTTTAACTTGTCCAGCATCACTGTCTAAATGAGGGTTGGAATAATACGAACCAATTTCTATGTTACTAAATGATACACATTTCTTTAGATTCGATTGTTTCTGAGAATTTTGTTGATTTTGGCTGGAATTCAGAGTAGGAATAAAATCTGAATTGTTACAAGTAGTTGAAATATATCCGATATTAAAACTGTTACTTTTCGCGAGTTTGATAACACTAGTCTGCACTTGGCACCTTGTAGATCCACCTTCACAGTTTTCCAGATTAGACAATTCACTAAGTATAATTTTATCAGCAGATTGCGGAGGTGTTTTATCGTTAACGCTTATCTCAGAACAAGTTGTTTCGATACGCTTGGAATTTAGTGTTACTGTGGGTACATTATTGATATGCGTTTTGCCACTGTCACCGGGTTTGTTATTTGCTTTTGATTTCCCATTTTGGTGGTGCGCGTTATAACCAAATGACCTTTGAACAGTCTTTGTTGATTTTTCAGACCCATTGCTATGTCTATCTGGCGCACTGTCCGAGGATACAGTTTCTGGTGTTTTGTGAGTTTTTAAGTTGTTTGCGAATCCGAACTTATTGATAGTGAGTTTATTATTTACTGTAGCTTTTGACGATGGTCGCTTCGGTGAAGAAGGTGTGGCTTCCAGTTGCTGTTTTCCAGATTGTCTGAAAGAACCTTGCGGTGTAATTGTTCCGCTCGTGGGTTTCGCAGGGATTTTGGATATTCCGGGTTTGGTTATGGAGACTTTCTTTTGGATGACAGGGCTTGGTTCCAGTTCAGCCTGTTTTGCTACTGGAATGGCCTTTCTGATGATAGGACCTTCATCTATGGTAGCTGTTGATTGATTGGGATTCTGACAACTGGAATCATTGTGTTGAGCACCCAACTGATTGGAAAGTGGTTGGGTTGTGATAGTTGCTTCAGGTTTCTTGATAGTTTTTGGTGAAGTGACTACCTTGGTCTCCAAAGACCGTACATAAAGATCTTTCCTACTCCGTGGTGATTCTGGTGGATCTTCTTGGAAACACTTGCTGGGTTTTTCTTCCGTTAATTTCGAGTCGACCACTTGTTGAAAATTTCGTTTAAATAATTTAGTTTTTAAGAAACCACCCAGGCCTGTTTTTTGTCCAGTTTTCTGGTTTTCTTTCACTGACGCTAATGGCGTTAAAGACTCTACTCTATTACCGGGCTCCTTAGATTTCAAATTAACATTCTCCTTGCCAGTTATGTGATGAATTGGTCGCTTCAAGAGGCCATTTTCTGTCTGAAAATCGGGAGATAATTGGTCTAATGAATCTTTTAATTGGTCTGTATTTTCCCTCGAACTCGATCGAAGTCTGGTGGCAAATTCTAAAACTTTGCTTTTTTTCACTGCCTTGATTGGGATGCGGTTTTTCTTCAATATCCTTTGATCTTCCATTTTAATGAGTATTAATTAATAGATGATATAATGAGATGGCACGGTCGCTTCAGATAATAACAAATGCTGTATTAAAATGAATATTTACACTAAAATCTAAAGTTGGTATGATGATTTTCTGAATTATTTCACTTTCGGATGATTTTGATTCTGTTGCTTCAGTTTTCTGCTTTCGCTCATTCCGTTTCTATACCGTCCATCTCTCATTCGAATCTTGAACTCGAATCTAATTTTCTTTGAGTTTATTTAGCTGAACCTGAAACGATAATATAGAGTACCAAATTGAACATTATGTTATGCCATGTTATAAGTAGGAAATGAAACGGATTTATACCTACTTTTTGCATCTGGGTGGACTAATCCTAGACAACTTTGTAAACGAATCTAATCTTTAGGACAAACCATCGGAAACTGAATTAAATGTTGTCTGATAAACAGGTTTTAACAGATAAATAATCACACAAATCAATTTCTTTGTTAAAATTCTATTATCGATATTTGATTAGAATTCCAAACGTTAAAATGTGATAATTGATAAATAATGTGGTAATGTAATAGCATTGGAATTTGAAAAGCAACGAAAACAACATGGAATGGTTTGAATATTTCATCTGCATTAATTACAAAATATAAAAAAGGTAATAGAAAAAACCTTATTAAAAATGTACACCTTAACATTTTAACTTACATTTTCATTAACAAGTCTCAAACTTGACACGTTGAGTGATTAATATTAGAAGCTGGAAATTTGAATGATAGATATAAAAATTAATTAATATCAGCGTAGAAACATGATTCATCACAGTTAAATGACTCGATAGACTATTAATCATCTTTTAACTTTTACAAAACATGTGACAAATATCGATCGAAAAACAATTTATGAGTACGATATATAGACACAGCTTTATTGAACAACAATCACTGGTTAAAGTTTTATGCAACGTTTCGACGTGTTTCCCCCGTCGTCCTCAGTCCTGGCGTCGAAACGTTGTATAAAACTTTAACCAGTGATTGTTGTTCTATAAAGCTGTGTCTATATATCGTATTCACAATTGCTAATTGTCATTTAAAGACTTAATTTATGAGAATATATGTTAAAATTTAATATAAACATTAAAATAAAAAGAAAACTTGGTTTGTATCGAGGGAAATGAATGACGCTTTTCAAATGTCAGCAATATTTACTTTTTAAAGCTAAATTTAAAATTTAATTTGTATTAAGTGTAATCGATCTTTTAGATCTAAGCTAAATGATACTTCATATTTAAATACATTATTTTGAATTTAGATTGAAATTACTGTATTCGGGGCATTCAATCTATTTATCTAAATATTGACTTTCAAATTTGAGCAATATTTCTAAAGGTTTATTTGAAATGTAACTGAAAGCTATTTTTTAAAATTTAAATTGATAAAAACTTATTTATATTGAGGGCATTCAATTTATTTTTTACATTTACATTTAAGATATTCAAAAGTTTAAAGCAACATTTTGGAAAATAGAAAGTTGGAAGCAGAATTTTTATTTTCTTAAGTCTGCTTATGTGTTTTAAGGATACAGTACGTATAATTTCTATTTGCATCATTAACCAAGTTCGTTCATTCACCCATCAACAAATAAAGGCAAGGTAAAGGCAGTGGAATATAGTCTCACTAATGGAACTTAAGAATATAAATGAGGATGGCAATATTGTTAGCAATAATTCGTGATATATTTTAAGTTTTCTCTACGGGATTATTCGTGGCGCCATACACTACATCAAGAGAGAAATAATATTATTCAACTTTCTTGTTTTATCACTAGGAGATATTTACTGTGTATTTATCTAATAAAGTGTCTGTAAGTATAATGAAATAAGATGAATTGCTGCAAGTGGATGGTTCAAGTAGATGAAAAAGAAATGAATAACGAAATTAGTTTTAAGAGTCAGATTCGCCATTTTCAAGCGATTGATTGAGCTCTTAAACATATTAAAATCGTTTGCAGAAGAAATAGAAATGGACGCATGATTCCTTCAAAATACCTCAAACTAGGGATTTTACTTTCTATATATGTCTTGTGTATATATTTTATAAAGTTAAAAAGATGAGTCGCGGATATGTCTGTATTTAAAGGTATTTCGCCGGTGAGCTATGAACAGTATTACTGATTAGCTTAGCTAACAAGTTCTGAGACTTAAAGTACAAACGGATGGCGAAATGTTCCTTTAAAATCGATTTAAGAGCATTATAGGATTCAGAAAATAGAACATGAATCTATGTCAGCTCAATAACTAGAGAAACAAAGGTTGTACAACTACATTACATTTTATTGGCAGAGCAGTAAGACACAAAACTTTCATTGCATATCATTAGTATAAGCCATTTTCGCTAATGCAGGATGAACACCTTAAATCTACTGCATTTGGTAAATAAATAAATAAATAAGTGTGACGCACAATTCCGTGTCATTTTATTATCTCGCAAAATTGTAAGGTAAAAAAACTTAATTTATTAGCTGAAGATGCAGCATAAGTGTCATAGCAATTCCTCGGTAATCCAATATTGTACCCAGAACGTAATACAATCGATCAAGGGTCCTGAAAGGGGCACAAGAAAGAAATGGGTTGAAATCCCCTGTTCTAGATCGATTCTTCGGCAATGGACACCGCACCTAGTACAGTCTCTTTGCTCCTCAATTAAATCCTTTGCATCTTTTGCATGTTTTATTTTCAGGAAATTGCGAGGTGTTACCCCAAAAAATATTTGGGTAGTAAAAAAAGATACATGAATATAACAATAGAAGCGGCTAATTATAGACTCACTAATGATGAAAACATACCTTTCAGAAAACGTGAATTAAATTGCATTTGGTCTCGGTTTCCTTTGTCGAGGATACAGATCGGAGGGGCTGATATGGAAAGCCTCCGCCATTCAGACCGGACGATGATCTGAGGCCCCATGTGCTCAGGCTGCCCACATGGAAGATCCCATGACATTTGGGAAGTTTCAAAAGTAGCTGTCCTGGAAACAAAGCCCTTGATGCACACTACATTTTTTAAGACATAGGAGGCATAATACTTAATTTGAAGTTCACCGAGGTGATATAGATTATTTATCTATTAATTCTGACTAACTAGAGTAATTATAGACCAGGTAAGATGGTAACTACCTACTGGTAATATACAGGTATATACAGGTACACATGGTAAATACAGGTAATTCAATATACACCAGGTTTGTATACAGTGATGTAAGAGTAATGTTATATTTACTGTAACATATGTCACTGTCAGTCATGTTTTATTATATATTATTATACTGTACTCGACTTCAACTTGCTGCTACAAGCTGATATGTATAATTTTACATCAGAGTTTCTCAAAACCTTCAGATAACTTTCGTTTTCCAGCTATCATTCTGACTACTAAAATAAATGTAATTTAAGTTCTGAAACAGTTAGCCTCTAAATTCCAAAGCAACTGGCATGCCTTCAGTTTCTTCCAATGTGTACTTCAACCTGCTGCATAAGCTAATTAAACAATCTAGTTCAGTCGCCCAGTTGCTGGTCTAAAATACTACCCATTGTGACAATGTTGAGATGTTTTCCTTGTGGTACTATTTATGGCATCAGCGAAGGAGAACCAGGGCGAATGGATATATATTCATTATCATTATGTTCCACAATGAATTGCTGACACATAATATTTTCAATGGATGTAGAGATATGTATTCTATTGCATTAAAAATATTATTGTCTGGTTACAAAACGAGAAACTACATCTTTCAACATATTTACATTGAGGTCATATTTTTCTTGAGTAAAATCTCGACATATCTTACATTATGACTAAATATTTATAATGCCAAAAATAAATATTATTACATATTTGTAAGCTAGATATTATATCGTATACAATAACATACATTATCTCAATAAAATGTCATTCTTAAGTCCTACTTGTCTGCTCTAGTAATGAACAAATCAACGAATTCATTATTCATTTTGGCACGTCATACTTTAATGATACAGGATCCAGGTAATATTTGGGGCGTTCCCTGTCAAAAACTTAAATCATTTGAATGTGTGGGTCTAAATATGATATCACAATTTGAAACCCCAAACCTTATAATGCGAATAAATAATATAAAAAGAAAACAGGGAAACTGAATCGCCATGAGATAGCTATCTAAACAAATATAATATTCATCCACTCTAAAATACTAATCAGAATGTGATGAAATCTAATATTGGAATTTGAAAGGCGTGACGTGATTCAATCGTGTCACCGTGACAACTTTCCCACATTCAAATTTCAATGTTATTTTTTGAGTATAATGATGTTGACCTAGATAGTAGTGATGGGTGTCGCGTGGGAAGCAAATCATGCTTACCCTTTTCGAAACACCTGATGGTATTTGATGGTACTAGTCCACTACTATAATAATGGAATTGTCTTGCCTGTACAGTCTTTTATTTATATGTAGGCTACTAATTAACAAAAGAAGAACACCTCTATTCAAAGATATAAAAATCATGGTAGTCAGAACGACTGTTGTTTTCTATGTTCAGGTATAATATTATGTTTAAATGATGACTAAACTACTATGTTAAAGTAATCAAAACACCACTGTTTGGCAGACAGTATTCAGCAAATGCATTATTAAAATCAGAACCTCCTTGTATTCATGCATTTTTCAGAAACTCTGTAAAATCTATCACAAATCTTAATCGGTTCAGCAGTAAACCTATTTGAAATTCAAAATTGTGTTTTTAAGTGTAATGAAATTTCCTAGAGTGATATCTAAAATCCAATAAATATTTTCCGAAACAAATTATTCTGCTTTAAAGATTTAATTTGAAAATGTTTCAGAAACTCTATCACAAATTGAAATCCTTGTTGTGCAACGTCTTTATAATTCAATGAAGTCTTTGGACTCCAGATCTAGATTTTTGAGGATTATCATTACTCCTAAGTTGACAATTTACTGACTTAAGCTAAATTTAACTCCACTGC